CCGGGTTTGCAGTGAGTGATAAACTCTAAGCCTGTCGGCAGGTAGCATATAAGAACTACCTCTAAACGACAGGTGCTAACTTACGGTCCCTTTTTTTATGTCTTATATAGTTTGGCTAGTCAGTTTCTACTGTTTTTGTTGAGAAGTTTTTTCGGCAAAATTTGGTTCAAGTAATCGTCGGAAAGAGTTAATTTTAACTATATATATTACAACTAGCTTTAGAACTATCTTGATTATTCTTGAAGTAAACCTGACAACACATTACATGTCTCATATATGATAGTGTATGCTTATTCAGTAATTATTTTCCAATTAGTATCTATTGTTTGCTATCATTGTATTCATATCTCAAGCCACCTTTTGGGGTACTGCCATAATACAATCTGTGTCTTAAGTACAATCTATCTAATTAGTCTTTCATTACGTACTCCTGCCCTTGTAAAGTTCACAACAACCCCAGCACTCACATTCCAGTTATTTTCTTACCTAGATTTTTTATAGATTTCTTTCTTACTTCTAGCCAGAAACCTGGATGAGTTGGTCTGCTCAGGCTTTAGATGCCTGAAAGATGCTCTCCTCTTGGTCCATACTTTTAAAGCATATAGCCTTTTTCTCTGGTGCATTTAAACCAACAATTTGGCTGGTGTGCTCCTCTACTAAAAAACTTAATCACTCAGTTCTCCAATCTCAGGCTTCGTTCAAATTCAGCCTTCATATAGTATCATTAAAAATTACTGCTATCTCCAAACTCAGAACTTTCCAAATGCGCTTTGATCTCCAGTCCTGTGGTACAACTACCTGGAATCACATCACTAATGCCTGAAGCACCTAGGTTATCTATAGGCCAACTTTAATAAAGATCATCAGCTGACATATTCTATTTTTTCAAAAATGTTGTCCCTGGAATTCGAACTTAGGATCTATAACATTACTATTTAAAAAGGGTGACAACTAGACTACTTCACTAAGCTGCTATGTCTTATTTTTTTGTGATTATATTATAATCCAATAATCTAAATTAGATCATTTTAGTACTATTAGATTTGTTTTATTGAAACAAATTGAATAGTATTAAAATTATCCAATTTAAACTATTAGATCAAATTTTATACAAATTTTATAAAAAAATTATGTTTTTTTTTTGATCCTTTTTACTCTTAAAAAAAATATTATTTTTGTACAACTTACTTCTTTTGTATAATATTATTTCTAGATACTTTTTAATTAATAATAAATACAGTATCTATAAATTATATACAAAAATAAGAGCTCAAATCAAAAGTTTAGACTAATTATTTGTAATCTAAACCTACTAGAGTGATTAAGACTTATTTAGATTAAAATTTTTATTAAATTTAATTAGGTAGTTATTAAAATATACTTGCTTAAATTAGATATTTTGATTTTTTTTAACTTTCAAGCAAAGATATTTTGACAACTATTTAACTAAATTCAATAAAAATTTTTATTCAAATTTTATAAAATCACAGAATTATTATGTTTTTTTAAAATAGTTAAAAATAGAAAAAATTTTTTTTTCAGGTATATCTATATACTATATACCGAATTACTTTAGCACTTTAATTGAAGATCGATGCTTGGTTTACTTATTGTTTTAAATAATAAGTACATATATATATAATCAAATATTGAACTTAAATTAACATGTTAAGATAATTCAGTATAAAGTATATAGATATACTTGAAAAAAATTTTTCTTATTTTTAACTATTTCGAAAAACACAATAAAATAAAAAAAAGTTTTACCAAATTTGATTATATAATTGTTAAGATATCTTTATTCAAAGTTTTAAATAAAATTTGAAGCTTTGATTTTAAAAAGTATTTTGATTTTTTCTTTAACTTTGTACAAAGATATTTTGCCAACTATTTGTCTAAATTTAATGAAAATTGTTTTATTTAAATTCTATAAAACTACAAAATTAAAAAAGTTTTATCAAATTTAATTATATAGTATAGTTGTCAAGATATCTTTATTTAAAGTTTTAAATAAAATTTGATATAACTTCTATTCTAAGAGAAGTGCTATATTATTTAATTTTTTTAGCAAGTGGATAGGTATCAAAATATTATATCAATAGATTGCATGTATATATAAGTGATGGGATATAAAAACCTGTAAATTATTTTACTCATTATCTTTGTAGTGATATGTATTCCTAATTCTTATAGAAGTAAATATCACTACAATAATAATAAGTGAAATTATTTGCAGGTTTTCATGTCTTGTCACCCACCCATATATTTATATATAATTATAATCATTTGAGAAAGAAAAAAAATTTTACTATTTACAAAAATCAGCTGATAAATAACACTTCTCTAATAGATATTCTGATTTTCTTTAATTTTGTATAAAGAAATCTTGATAGCCACCTAACTAAATTTAATAAAGTATTTTTTATTTAAATTTTATGAATTCACAAAATTTAAATAAAAAATACTTTATTAAATTTAATTAGATAGTTGTTAAGATATCTTTGCTTAAAGTTAGAAAAAAATTTGATGTAGCTTTTATTTTAATAAGCATTTTGATTTTTTTATAATAATATCTCAACAACCACTTAACTAAATTTAATAAAAATTTTTTTTATTTAAATTCTATAAATCTATAAAATTTAAATAAAAAAGTTTTATTGAATTTGGTCAAATAGTTGAAATATCTTGCTCAAAAATTTAAAAATTTTTAAAAATATAGTTAAGTAATAAGTTACTTTAATCTAGATTAAAATATAATTGGCCTTTTAATAATTTTAAATATTTTAAAATATTTATATAAAAATTAATTTATTTGTAGCTATAGGCTACTATATTCTAAATTTAATATATTTTATATTTATTTTAAAGTCTGGGACAAACTAAAAATTGCTTGTTTTTAAAATCTCTTCAGTTTTGTTCTATGAATCATCTAACTCACAAATACTATTTTGACAATATGCTCGAGCCCGGTATTCGAATATAAACACAGCCTTGAAATATGAAACCAAATATGGTCCTGAATATGAAAGCAAATATGACCTCGAATAAGCAAATATGGCAAACGTTAATAGAAATCAAACAGATTAGCATTTAAAAAAATTAATCCCTTAACTTTCACAACTTATATCTCGATGAATTTTGAGGCTATCTTGATAAATTAATATTCAAAAGAAAGTCTAGATCTTAAGCTTTCTTTTGAATATTAATTCATCAAGTAAACATCAAAATTCATCGAGGTATAAGTTATGAAAGTTAAGGGATCAATTTTTTTTAAGTCAATCTGCTTGATTTCTATTGACGGCAGCCCATATAGCCTTAAGCATAAAAGCAAATATGATCTCAAATATAAAAATAAATACAAAATATTTATGATATAAATGCAAACTAAATGTGCCTTCAAATAAGCTTCAAATAGGCTAATGACCTGGATAGCTTTTTATTTGAAGCACTGATTAAATGCAAACCAAATTTGCTGCATTAGAGAGAGTATATTAGAAGATTTGACTAAATTAATTTTCTTATATTTTTAGTTTGTACCAATTCAAAAAACGGTCAATAATGTAAAAAGCCTGGAATAAGCAATGCATCTTCCGAGAACATGGAATGGACAAAATAAAAATACTTTTTATTGGCAGTAGATTAAGTATATACAGTAATATTAGGTAATGCATAGCATTAGATATCCGGAACTAAATATAATATTTTTTTACTTTGCGTAGAAATAGCTTCGCTCCGGACAAATTATTATATACAAGAGATATATATGCGTAAAATAGTAGAGATGTTAATCGGTTGGGACCTACTTCGGGGTGCTCCAGAGTAAGCTACTCCACTAACAACCCTGATTTGGAATTATATATCTTTATAGAATAAGAACTATATGATTATGTTTAGAGCAGATACTCTAAAAATAATACTGTAATAAAATGACTTTTTTAGTGCTTATAAAAATAAATACAATGCTATGTTCACAAAACGTACTCTCTTGCCCAATAGTCATAAACTTGGAAATTTTTCATCATAATAAATAAACTTTAATGCTAAGCAGCAGTAGCAATCAAATTTTATACGAAGATTACTTAAATAATCTTTGCATCTCCCAGATTTAAGTATAAACTTTATAAATAAAATTTACTCCATAAGAATTTTATATAGTCTGTTTCTATATTTATGCAAAACATTCATTTGGATAGTATTGTACGAACATACTTATGCAGTAAATAAAACATTAATAACGTAATAATTAAGTATATAATAAATAAATAAATAAATAAACACAACATTATTATTGTATTAGAATAATCTAATAGATAAAAAAAAAAAAAAAAACACAACAACGTTATTAGCCTAATTATTAAGTATATATTAAATAAATAACATTATATGGTGGGCTATTTTAAGGCACAGAATGCGCGATAAGAAATAAGCTGGTCACAGTCAGTTGTCAATTCTAAAGTAATTGATACATTTGCACCAATAAAAAAAATACTACCAGGCTCTAAAACTTCAGAATTGTTTTCATATTGCAAAAAACCTTTCCCTTCGGTAATAATAATAATACTAGGGCCAGCAATACTTTCGAAAGCCTCCTTTCGAAATTGTGAATCCAAATTTGTTAATATTACAGTGAACTCTTCAATAGGCGGATCATATAACAAAGATGTAGGTGAATCGTTATATTGAATTGGATTAAGAATTTGAGATTTAGCGTTTCCATATCGATAATTTAGCATGTTTACAAGTATGGGAACATCTTTAAATTTAGGTGTCAATCCGGCACGAACCACATTATCACTTGTTGCCATACATTCAACACAATCTGTCAGAAGGATAATGATAAATAAATTGAGAAATAAAGTAAAGCTATAAAAATTTTGAATAAATATTATTTACCTCCATATAAATAAGCATGAGGTTCATTGGCTCCTAAAAATATAGCCTGACCTGGTTCTAATTTTACATAGTTTAACATCAATACACAGAATATTCCTACATCTCCCGGAAATTGCTCGTTCAACCTAACTAAAAGTTCTTGTATGCTTCCTTTAGGGTTATCGTGATGCAACCGAGAAATTAATTTTTTCACACAAGTTACCACATTATTTGGATCCGCTGTCATCAAAGAAGTGAATAATTGCCGAAGAGCAACCTTGTTTGACTCGATTTTCTCTACAATTTTTGAACGCTCTCGGCCACTAACAGTCTGAATAAAACTTGATACGACATTACTTCCAACGAGTTCACGAAATTCTGGATATTCAGAAAGAAAAACTATTATTTCTTCTAATGGTCGAAAACCACATAACGCTTCAAACTCTGTAATTGCCACAGTCATTTCGGGTTTGTGATTAGGGTCTATTATAAAAGCTAATGAATAAATTATCTGATATAAAATTCTTAGGCAGAACATCCTCAATATAATAAGTATGTCATCACCTTTGTATATATTTGGGTACTTTTCGAATAGTTCTTTACCGAGCTTCTTGTTAGGATGAGCTTGGATCGAAAGTGCTTTGCCTACAGATAAGACTTTAAACAAGAATGGTAAATCACCATCGTAAATTTTGGCCAATTCTGGAGTTATAAGTTCGGGATTAGATTTTATTACATCTTTGAGGGAAGTCGTTGGCTGAGCTATCAAAGAACTAGGACCACTAGGGTGTGTACCCATCCAAAGCTTAAAAATTAAGGGATCGTTCAAAAATTGAAATTGATTCAAAATAATTTGATTAAATTTATTTCTTGTCAATAATGTAATTCACCTCAGCATAAGGCTTATTAGGTTCGATAGTAAAGCCATCTAAAATTTTAATATATTGAGCTACTTTGCTGTCAGCTCCTAGTTTTCCCCAAGCATAATTTTGAGATGCACATCTTAAGCGGTAGACAGAAAGTTGTGACATTTGTTAAATTAACTACAGTACCACAGTCCAACTTCTCTAAATAAATACTGTCATAAAAGATTATCAATGTAATACATTCACGTGATACATGACCAATCAAATTGTCGAAGTTTGATAAAAAAACGGCATGTGCATTTACAGTAACAGAACGTAAGATTTTGGACATAACTTTATATTAGACGTGACGCAAAATATAGTAATGTTGATTTTGAGTCTAAAAAAGTAAAAAATAAATGAATAAAATTGCGTAAGTTGTAAACTAAAATTAGAAAGTGCACAAGATGTCTCATTGTACCCGGATAGAGTTTCATTAGAATATTTTCTACGAATACAATATCTACTCTAATCGAACCAATTCTGGTATTAGAGTCTAATGGTGATTTCCGCAAAAATTAGGTGATCTCGTAAAAATGTAATGAATTCAAGCTAGCTAATTGCAGGATTTGTACTGACGGGCATATGAATATTGTACGAAAATAATACCGGCAAACTCATGATTATGAAAAATTTTCTTTTTTTTGTTATTTTTTTCATGTGTTACGATGTACTGTAATTATGTTTATTCAAATTAACTCCCTACCAATCATGATCATAAATTGCCAGATAACACCAATACGGTAATTTGACAAATGATTGGCTACACGTGCCGCTTTACGGCACGTGCTCATAATGTATACTTATCTTAAACCGTATTCCAGGCAAATTTGCCTGGAAAATTGAAAAGTATTTACAAATTTTTAAATAAAATTAAAAATTA